TTCATTTGCTTTAATGAAAGCAAGAGCAAGTTTCAGAGTCTATCTTCTGACATCCATTTTGATCTTTTCTTCCTTTCCTGTCTTTTTAATGATCTTTGACTTTCTTCATGGATGATGTTCTTGATGTCATTGCACTGTTTGTCTGGTTTTCAGTCATTGGTATTCAGTGCATCAAAACTGTTCTTCGGATTCTTGGTCTCTAAATTCAGGTGGGATATAATCAAGGTCATATTCTGGCTCTCATGGACTTGTTTTAATGGTCTTCAGCTTCAGCTTGAACTTGCATATGATCAGTTGGTGGTCTGTTCCACAGTCAGCTGCTGGCCTAGTTTTGGCTGGAGATGTTGAGCCTTCTCTCCAACACCTCTTTCCACAGATGTAGTTGATCTGATTCCTGTGTATTCCATCTGGGGAAGTCCACATGTATAGCCGCCGTTTGTGTTGTTGAAAAAAGGTATTTGCAATGAGTAAGTCTTTGGTCTTAGAAAATTCTGTCATGCAATCTCTGGCATCATTTCTATCACCAAGGCTATATTTTCCAATTACCAGTGATTCTTCTTTGTTTCCAACTTTTGCATTCTAATTACCAGTAATAATCTATGCATCTTGATTGCATCTTTGGTCAATTTCAGACTGCAGAAATTGGTAAGAATCTTCAATTTCCTCGTCTTTGGCTTTAGTGATTGGTGCATAAATTTAAATAATAGTAATATTAACTGGTCTTCCTTGCAGGCATATGGATATTATCCTGTCACTGTCAGCATTGTAATTCAGGATAGATCTTGAAACATTCTTTGTGACCATGAATGCCACGCCATTCCTCTTCAATTGGTCATTTCCAGCATAGTAGATCATAAAGTTGTCTGATTTTAAATGACCAAAACCAGTCCCTTTCAGCTCGTTAATACCTAGAATATCTATCTTTATACTGTTCCATTTAATTTTTTGACAACTTCAATTTTCTAGGTTCATACATTCCATATTCCAGTTATTAATGTATGTTTGTAGCTGTCTTCCCATTTTGAGTCATGCCACATTAGCAAATGGGAGTCCTGAAAGCTTTACTACATCCATCCACATCATTAAGATCAACTCTACTCTGAGGAGGCAGCTCTTCCCAGTTGTGTTTTGAGTGCCTTCTGACCTGAGGGGCTCATCACGTGGCACTATATCAGACAGTGTTTCAGAGCTGTTCGTAAAGTTTTCCAGTAATATATCAGACAGTGTTTCACTGCTGTTCATAAGGTTTTCACTGGCCAATTCTTTGAGAAGTGGGTGGCCCCTTCCTTCTTCCATAGTCTGGAAGCTCCACTGAAACCCATCCACCATGGGTGACCCTACTCGTATTTGAAATACCAGTGGCATATCCTCCAGCCTCACAGCAACACGCAAGCCACCATAGTACGATAAACTAACAGATGAGTGGTGGTTGGCTAAGTGGTTATCTTCCAGATTTCTTGATATAGACAAGTGAGTACTTCCAGCATTGCTTCTGAAGCAAACATCTCAACTGGTGTTCTGTCTGTTCCTGGAGCCATGTTTTCACCAGTGCTTTCAGTGCGTCTGGGACTTCTCCCTCCTGTGCCACTGGTTCTCCATGACTTGCTGCCTCCTGAAATGGTTGAATGTTGACCAGTTCTTTTTGGTCCAGTGACTCTGTATTCTTTCCATCTTGTCTTCATGGTTGCTGTGTCCTTTAATATTTGGCCCATAGAATCCTTCACCATTGCAGCTGAAGGCTTGAATGTTTTTCTTCAGTTCCTTCAGCTTGAAAAATGCCCAGTTTGTACTTCCCTTTTGGTTTTCTAATTCCAAATCTTTGCACACTTCATTATGATATTTTATTTTGTTTTCTCAAGCTACCCTTTGAAATCTACTGTTCAGATCTTTTACTTCATCATTCCTTCCATTTGCTTTAGCTAGTCTACATTCCATAGCAAGTTTCAGAGTCTCTTCTGACACCCGTTTGGCTTTGCTCTTTTCTTTTTTTCCTCTCTTTTTAATGACCTTTTTGCTTGAAAGATGTCCTTCTGCAACTCATCGATGTTCAGTGCATCAAATTTATTCTTGAGATGGTCTGTAAATTCAGGTGGGATGTTTCAAGGTCATGCTTTGGCTCTTGGGGGCTTTTTAAAATTTTCTTTAGCTTCAACTTGAACTGCACACAAGCAATTAATAGTCTGTTCCTATGTTGGCCCCTGGCCTTGCTCTGACTGATGATACGGAGCTTCTCCTTTGTCTCTTGCCACAGATGTAGTTGATTTGATTTCTGTGTACTCCATCTGGCTAGGTTCACATGCATAGTTATCATTTATGTTGTTTAAAAAACAAGGCTTCCAAACATTTCATCCCAATTTAACCGCCTGCTGATGATTTGCATTTCCATCCCTGATATACTGAATCAGAGTCTAAGTTTTAACAAGACCCCTAGGTGATTCTTGTACATAAGAATATAAGAATCACCTGCGGATGTTATTAAGCTGTAGATTATTATACATAAGAATCACCTAGGGATCTTGTTAAAACTTAGATTCTGATTCCTGTATCTGGAGTGGAAATGCAAATTCTCAACAGGGGATCAGACCAGAATGAACTGGTTCAAAGCCCCAGAAAAAAAGTATTTCCAAAGAATCGGTCTTGGAAAATTCTGTTATGCAATCCTGGTGTCATTTCTATCACCAAGCCTATATTTTCCAACTACTGATCCTTCTGTTTTCAGCTTTCACATTCGGTTATCAGCTGTTTCTTTTCCTTTTGCATTGTACCACATCTGCAGATGAAGTCTCCAACAGTTTTACTTCATCCATGTAACATCAGCTTTACTTTGAGGAGCCAGCTCTTCCGCAGTCGTATTTTGAGTGCCTTCCAACGCATTTGACTGCTAACGAGAAGCTGGCAGTTCAAACCCACCAGCTGCTCCGTGGAAGGAAATGGGGCAATCTACTTCTATAAAGATTTACAGCCTTGGAAACCCAGTGGGTATTACTATGAGTCAGAATCTACTCGATGGCAGTGAGTTTGGCACACACACACCACCACCACCACCACCCCCCGCACACTCCAAGGCTCATTTCCCAGCAGCATTTGAGACAGTGCTCCACTGCTGTTCACTGGCCGGTGATTTTAGACGTAGATCACAGGTCTTCCTCCTTAGTCTGACTTGCTCTGGAAGCTCCATGGAGACCTGTTTACCACGGGTGACCCTGCTCGTATTTGGAACACTAGTGGCGTTACATCCAGCATTAGAGCAACACGCGAGCCACCACAGTACGACAAAGTGATAGACGAGTGGTGGAGGAGAATAAAATGTGGTTACACCTCACCTCTGAAGAGATGTGTACTGTGGCTCCTGCAGTTACAAAGATCCGAGGAGAGTGCAGCTGTCTGTGGCAGGGTTAACAGTGACGTGTGTCACAGGATGATTTTAAAATAGGATTTGGGGTTATCTTCTAGAAGAAGTACTCTCCATGTCCGATTTTGACAGAAAGATGAACCATCTAAACCATGAAAATAATTTGTTCTTTTATGTTTCCTGTAATTTTTAAGCGATGTTTTTCCTTTCATTATTCTGTCTTCCCTCTGCCCTACTCCAGTTCCCATTTTATCTTTGAAGATAAAACCAAACGATTCCTCAAGCCCCACCTAAAAGGGTCCTACATGTGTGATGCTTTTCTTTGACCCCTACTGGAACTTAGTCCCCTCCTCCCTTTCTTGCTTATGAACTTCGTAACACTTTCTGGCGTGTTCTGTGTGTCTTAGAGTTGTTTGTGAAGGTGCCTTTTCTCCCCCAGCTAAGCCACAGGTTCTTTGAGGCCAGAGAGTTGGTCATACTCAATTTCATGCCCCCTCACTGTGCCTAGTGCAGACCTGGTGCTGGGTGGGCTTTCTACCATTGTTGAGTGAACAATGGGTATTTTAGCATCTTTTTAGTGTGGGTTCTTTTGTAGGAGAATTGAAGAGAAATGCGTTTTAACTGATGGTTTGGCTGTTGGCCACAATGTTAAATTAGATCATGTAAGAAGACAGGCTCACAGATGACCCGGTGTTTTTTTTTTTCCAGGACAATTTATTAGTAACTATTTAACTATGCATAGTCTAGCTATGTATTTAAAAGGAGCTCTTTAGACTCCTCGACGGCAAAACAACAACAACAACAACAACTTTAGACTCCTAAGAACTGAAATGAGTTTTTGGGTGTTTATAATTCCAGAATCATGAAATCATAGTAAGAATCCTAGTTACTCTGATTGTATGTTCCCTTGCATCACAAAACCAAAACTAAAGTGATTTTTGATTTCACAGCTTCCAATCTAAATCTCTTATTCTCCTTCTGTGAACAATTGAAAATTGATTGTACTCTCAGTAATATTTTTACAAAAAACTGGTTTATACGTTATTTCTGCCTGACAGTAAGGAATCATAATCATGTGAGTGTGAGTCAGAGAAAGTTGTTTGGCTTATAGATGCTCTTTAAGAGGACAAATTTTCTTCCTCCACTTGAAATAAATTTAAAATGATAAATAATCCAAAACTCAAAAGAGCTGTCAAGCCTGCCAGGTATACTTAATAAATTAAGGTTTTGACTATCATCGTGGGGATTTTTCCAGCACTGCCCAGAGACAGATTAAATCAGCTAATTAAGTGTTCAGGTATGGATTTGTTTTCCTTCTTTGGTAATCAAACCATTTAAAGGTTAAAAAACAAACTCAACTTCTTAAGGCTCCTTGAATGATGGCTGGATCCTAATGGAACTGATGCGGCCTGGGGCTTTGCAGAGACCACTTCATAGCAAGCAGAGGCTTCCAAGAGGAGCTCCAGTTACTTCTTAAGACTAATTCTTCATTGCTTTGTATTTTACTTTACCTTTCTTTCTTATTTTTTTTTAATACTTTTTTTGCTTAAGAAATATGCATGTTCATTCAGTTGAACATTACCGGCCACTAGGACGACTCTAATTCATGTGGACATGGGCTTTTCTTGTTATGCCTCTCCTTTTCTAGACCATGAAGTGGTAGCAGTCACTGAAAGGCCTCTGCCTCCCCATCCAATCCAGATCACAAAGACAGCACCTTACAAAGACCCGGACGTGAACATTGTGGTAGAAAGGCCTTGGAATGGCAAGTAAGTGATAACTGGACGGTTTGATTTTCTTGTAGTTGATTGCCTTTGCATTTTGAATCCCTTCAGTTGAAGACAGACAGTCTTTGAAGGCAAGATCTTACCAAACCCTAGATAAATTAGCTAGCTCAGTAAAATAGCGTATTTATAAGATGGTCATTGCATATACTGCATCTTAAGAAGCCTTCAGCAGTCAGTAACATTTTGTTGGGATTTACTGTTGAAAGCATCAATATGTGTGGGAAGTGCTGATAATAACTGCAAGGTTGGCTTTAAGAACTCTTTGTCTGGGGGACAGTAATTCCTAGCATGTTGAGGGTTAGTCCAGTGAACAGGGGAACTACTAAATGGTGGTAGGATGCTGAGTTTTGTTCAGGGTGAGAAAGGGACATGAAGTAAGTCTTTTGTATCAGCCCATCAGGGTGAGTGAACAGTTTGCCTTTGCTTACAGATTATTTTGAATGCTTTTCGTCATTTTTGTTTGTTCTCAGTTCCCTGGATGAAAGTGTGGAAACAGAGGAGAAGTTGAAGCAGAGAGAGGTTCCCCTTCTCTCCCTTCCAGAGGATGCTCAACAGAAAGAGGGTGGAGCTCTCCTCTTCCTCCCCCCTGCGATGTTGCACAGCATTGGGGACTACTGCAGTCGATTTGAGCACTACCTCCGGATGATTTCTCACGAGGCTGTTGGCTCCTTCAACCCGTGGCTGATAGCCGAAAGGTCAGTCAAATGTTAGGTGCCTCTGTTTATCTGTTCAGGAACCAAGTAAACCAAAACAACCAAACTCACTGACGTCGAGTTGGATCCGACTCGTAGCGACCCCTCCTTGGGTTTCTAAGGCTGTATTTCTACAGAAGTAGATTGCCCAGTCTTCCTTCCAGGGAGTGGCTGGTGGGTTTGAGCTGCCAGCCTTCTGGTTAGCAGTCAAGTGCCTTAGGCACTAGGCCACCAGAGCTCCTAGGAACCAAGTGCCAAATACTACACTTAAGGAAAACTGGAGAAAGCACTGGCCACAGTCTCTTGTCATGCTTTAAAGATAACCAGAACCAGTTGCCATCGAGTGAAGTTGGACTCATCGTGGCCTCATGTGTGTTAGGGTAGAATTGCATTCCACAGGGTTTTTAGTGTCTGATTTTTTAGGATTGCCAGACCTTTCTTCCAAGGCACCTTTAAACTGGTTTGTACTAGTCTTTTGGTTCATGGCCCAGCACTTAACTGTTAAAAAACCAAACTCACTGCCATCAAGTTGATTCTGACTCATAGCGACCCCCTTTGGGTTTCCAAGGTGGTAAATCTTTACGGAAGTAGATTGCCCAGTCTTCCTTCCACAGAGTGGCTGGTGGGTTTCAACTGCCAAGCTTCTGGTTAGCAGTTAAATGCCTTAGGCACTACACCACCAGAGCTCTTTATGAAATGCTTTTGGGCCCAGCAATTCAGGTATT